GTGTGCTTATACATATGTATGTAAATTTGCACAAATTAAAATGAAATAAAAAAGCGAGTTTATAAAAACGTGGTAAAAATGAGTGCAACGGAGATCTGGTTCAACGGTTCGTCAGAGGATGAGAGCTTGGTAAACTGGTCAGGAGTAGAAAATGTTTAAGAGGGTTTAAGTGTAGTCTTTCGAATATATTTTGACATAAAATATATTTAAGAAATTTGTCTACAGATTTATTAAAAACTTTCGATTGTCTAAAGAGGCGTTTGTGAGCCAAATCTATTTAAAATATTTTAAAACTATAAACCGCTTAAGATTTTGTTCTCACTTTCGATGTTCGATCTTTGATAACCAGCGAAGATTGAAAATCGAATGCAACTCATAATAAGGGCCTAAAAGTCACTAGTGTTTTAATGCAATCTGCAGTGTTTTCGACATACACTTGCATCCAGAACTCTCTTGGCTCCCTTCGTAGTACTTAATAATCAAAGTGCTCTCTTCACTGATGTCCAGAAGGTTTTCAAAAGCTTAATTGGTCATCTCGGTAGGTTTACTTTTCTGGCCACATGAAAATGGGTTTGTTATCCAGCTGAAGTCATCCTCAGAGTCAATATTGGGAAATTATTCGACAATGGTTTTTCTAAACCTTCCAAGTTAACGCTGGTAATGCGCGTTAACGCTAAGAAAATAATTTTGACAGCCAATTTCACGAAAGCAATTTAAGTGATAAATGATATTAATTTTTTGAATTATATATGGAAATTGCTAGTGAAACCGGCTGTTATCTGTTTTTCTGATTACTTTGTTTATTTATGGGGTTTTCATGCAAATTGCTAGAAATTCTAAAATAAACATGTCACCAGTAAAAAAAATCTCGACGTGCTAGAAAAAACCAGAGATGTATTTTAATTTCGCCGGAATCTGTTATCTTCGCAGCGTCATCCAATACGGGTTTTAAATCTAGGGAAGATGCCGCTTCCTAATACCGAGGAATCCTGCAGTGACTTCTCGTGGCGTTTTCTGCCTCTTGCTTCATCCTAGACATCGCTCCTTTCGTTTTTCCAACCACCGCAAATATCCGTACACTTGCTCCATTTCAAACCATTGTTCCGTACAAATTTGTCGATAGTTTTAAATATTTCGTCGCTAGTGGCGTAAGTCTGAAGTACTTCGTTCATCTTCGATTTGCATTGCGAATAGGTACCTCACTAACACGACAAGACTGCCTCTAAAATCGTGTTGATTCGTTTTTTGACAGTGTGATTGTGAAGTTCCAAAGAATACGTAATATATACACGTTACGCTTGTTACGAGAACAGCCCAGCCAGCAAAAAAATCCGAAAACGGGAAGAAAAGTTAATGAAACGCGGATTAGGTCTACAAAAGTACCGAAAGTGGTTGTGAAAAGGATACGTTTTCGGCTATTTTTCTGAAAATTTTCTGATTAAATTTTACGTTGACAAAACGTACTGGGGAACTACGCTTAAGAGCGAAATATCTCTTTGCTGCAAGCTATTTGTGTTGTGTATGGGGTTTGACGATCCAGTGAAGGTAATTTTAATAAAATTCCAAATTTTTTGATTTTCTGGCCGCCATGTTGAAGTTTGATCAAACCGCTTGCGTTGTATAAAGAATTTGCCCGCACCACTAGTATACTCTAGCCACTAGCGGCACCCCAGGCATACGCCCACTCACTTTGGGAAGGCCTGCTTTAGATAAAAACTAGCCAATGCCCGCTTACTTCGCGGCGCCTGATAAGAACTTCTGCGTTGGCCAATGCAAAAGAGCGTTTAAAAGTAAAAATAGTCTGTAAAGTCAAAATTTTAAGTTGAAATCTCTAAGGCGGAGGATACTGCGCACACATAGGCCAATAATTGTAACGCTGTGATACCATATGGAATACCAATCCCTTCCGGTGTCATGAGCTTTACCGATGGTCTTATTTCCACCTGTGAGATCTCTGCCAAGCATGCGTAATCTTTTTCTATGATCATGCAACTTCAAGATAGGTGCGATCCGTATGACAATAAAAGTTCTTATAAGGAAACTCAGGGCACAGAAGTGCGTTTTTTGTTATAGGAAGACCAAGAACCCTCGCTGTCCCACAGGATGAAAAGCTTTCCGGTACATTGGCTAAATGAGTCGTGTGATATCTTGAATATCTTTCAAATGAAGCAACTGGAATACCTACGGTGACTGATTTCTAAGATAAGATAACCTCCGCCAATCTGACGCAACTCTATTCAGTGGTTTTTGAGTTTAGTCCGAACAACGAAAACGGCTATCATTTTATGCAGATAGGTATGTAGATAGGACAGTCTATAGCGAAACTCGTAAAATCAAAGCTCCATTCTTTGTGAAAATTTTAAAACCAATTCTTCAATATTTTCACATAAATTTTACCGTTTACTAAAAATTAAAAACAAATTTACAATAGTTCAATGGGATTTAGATCTAGTAGAAAATGGTTCCCAATCGAATGATACTTGCGCGTTTACGTAAATACTAAATGTACAGCCGTCGTTGCGTGCGGACGTGTTTTTTATCGCTCTCGGATTTCGAATATTTGCTAATGGGTTCCATAACTTTATTAGTGTCAAAAAGGTTACTAAAACTTAATGAAGCTTTGTCTTTGTTCGTGCATAATTTTTGAGACAGTGACTCTTGTATATTATAAACAAATAACGAAGAGACGTTCCTATTAAAAATGCCTTGCTGCTGTAACCATAAAGTTGAGCGTTCGCACCCAAAAATCCAGTGCGCAAAGTGCAATGAACTATTTCATTTGGAATGTGTGAATATTTTGCCGGCAGACGCTGAGTTCCTGCTTAACTCAGAGAGGCCTTTTCTGTGCAAAGTGTGTGCTGATGCTCGGCGATATTCTATTCGCTCCCCGCCTCCTCCTGTTATTCTTAACGAGAGTGTTGTTGCTACTAATGCCATTGCTTCGGATTCCTCTAGCAAAGTAATCGGTGCCCATCGTAATAACAACCTCCCACAGCAGCACAAAGCTCCTAAAAGTGCCTTGCCTAACCAGCTAACTAGTACAGCAATAAGTGATACCACTAGTGAGTCCAACAACAAGCAGCAGGTATCATTGGTTTCGATCAGAGTTGCCACTTTGGTAAATTATTACCAAAATTGGTAGAAAAAATTAGCGTTGGTAAAAAGGTAAATTTTTTGTCATTCTGGTACACTTTTGTTAAAGTATTTTATTTGAAAACCGACTAAAATTTTGTTCCCGCTTTATTTTACGTAGTTATCTTTGTATTATGATTTTATTTCCAAAAGTGTAGTCTTCTTTATTGCATTAATTTTCGAATGCTTAATGCACACTTTTTATATACGTACATACATACATATTTACATATGTGAGTATGTTTATCGATAAAACGCGAACAAATCGTGCTCCATTAAAAACTCATTTCACTGAAATCTTGAGGAGCCTTTGAACATTTGAGCATTTTAAATGTTTCTTTAAAAAAAAGAAAAAATGGGCAGGCTTGTATTTACATGCTATGATTGTACAAAAAAAAAATTATAAAGTCACCGAAAGTTTTTATAAATATCAAATGAAAATTAAAACACAAAGTTCCGGCGGCAAATATATTTTTTGAATCAAATGGAGTTTTTAGCTGCACATTGTTGGTTATACACAATTCCATGCACACCGAAAATAGTTCTAAAAAGTCAGAGTAAAAAGTTCGAAATTTAGATGAAATATTTTAGATTTTTTCGGAATGTTGTAAACGTCCTTGATTTGTATGCGTTTAGTTAAAGCGAAAACAATTTTCTTATAAGAAAAGAACAAAAAAATGTTTACTTAAAATATTTAAAAAAATACCAAGCGCTTTTTTAATGATAAAGTTTCGTTGTTGCCTTTAGTTTCATCACTTTCGCTTTTGGTTTAAGAAAAACCGCGAAGATGACATTAATATGATCTCAAATACCATGTCACCATGTAAAAAAAGGTTATTGGTAGATATTTTCCAGATTTGGTAGATTTTTTCCAAGTGGATGGTAAATATTTTTTTTCGTCAGTGGCAACCCTGGTTTCGATATTCAATGCAATCGTCTCTCTACGTGCTGAGAATGCTCGTATGCATAATCTCATTTCAACTCTTCATGAAAATGATAATAAATTAACAAACAAGGCGGACAGCATGCATTCGGATCTCTTACATATGCAGCGTAGCCTTCGGGAAAAAGATGATGCTATAAAATCACTCACAATGGAAATCAAAGATCTACGTGCTACTGTTAGTGCTGCTTTTGTGAAGGTACGTAGCCAAAAAGAAGCGAATTACGAAAATGGTGCACTTATTGATGTTAGTACCACTAACAATTCTGCGATCATGTCGCGCATGGAAGCCAAAACTAAGGCTAAATCCTCTGTAGTTGCTAATAATGCCCTCGCTGTCTCTACTGCTGTCTCTGGTGCTTCTGATAAAAATGTGTACACTCATGCTGGCTCGGTGCTGCCAACGAATGTTACACACACTTCCACATATACTGAAATGCCTGCTGTCTCTGTTGCCGCTGGTACTGCTGTTAAAAATGTGTATTCTCATGCCGGTTCGGCGTTGCGAATGAACGCTGCGCACACACACACATATGCTGATATGTTAAAGACGACTGCTGATATCTCGACAGCGAATGTTACACACTCGTTGGCGCCTGCTGTTAGCTCTGCAGAGATCAAAAATGCACAGTGGTCTACTGTTAAGAATAAAAGGGGTAAAAAACCAGTAAGGGTTGTTGGTACAAACATTAGCAAAGACTTGGACGTGGCTGTCCGATATAAGTGGTTACATCTAGCGTCGTTCTCGCCATCTGTTTCGGAAGAAAATATAATAAACTATGTTTCCAATCAGGCGGGTTTGAACAAAGATATATTAGTATCATGAACCAAAAATACAAGATCACCTAATCAAAGAAGCAAGAAAAAAGTATATTTCTGAGTGTTTTTGACATCTGCCTAAGAATGAAAACAAACAAAGAAAACGAAAAAGGCGCGGTGATTGAGTGCGATTAAATTGGTATTTATTATAAAATATACAAGTGAAACTTGATGACAATTAGCAAAAAAAGTTCATAAAATATGGTTTTCATGATTGAAAGTGTTTTACAATCGCATATAATTACCACGGGTCGATTTTTCAATGCCAACGTTCTGGCCACAAACGTGCACCCACTTTTCACGCAAATTTACGCCTTTTGGCAAACCAAACATACGCACAAACTTGTTCCGATCACACAGCACTTTATTTTATATCATAAATATGTAATAAACCAAAATTTATAATTAAAATCGCTGCAGAAAACACATTCAATCGCTAAAAAATCACTACGAAGAGGTAGAAGACGATGTAAACAAACCCGAAAAACGTCTAAAACGCTACGAAAACTTTTTTCTGAAAATCGATTACAAATACAACGATGGCTGATTAGGTGATCTGTAGTCGTTGGTTCATGTATTAGTATGCTATAAACTAGTTAAAAAAGATGTGGAAATTTCAAGTCTAAAGCGTGTAAACTTCAAGTTGGGAGTGCCGGAGACAATGTTTTCGAATTTGCTTAGTTCGGAAATCTGGCCCACTAACGTGACGGTCAAACCTTTTCGGTTTTTTCCAAAGGACCAACAAAAGCCGCTTCAGACATAGTTAATTCTCCTCCTTTTGCTAATAGCTTAAGGGTATATTTCCAAAATATGTCTGGCATGCGAACAAAAGCTGATATCGAGCATTCTTTTACTGCGCAGATGGATTACGACGTCTATGTACTTGTTGAGACGTGGTTAACCTCAAACTTTTTTGATGCTGAATTCTTCGATGCTAACCTCTTAACGTCTTTCGTAAAGACTGGGATGCTGTAAAAACTGGTTGCCAAAGAGGTGGCGGTGTAATCGTTGCTGTCAAGCGCGAACTACGTGCGCTCCTGATCTCTCTAGCTAATGATGATTCACTTCTGGATCAACTTTGCGTCAATATTAGTGGCAACTCTTCAAAAGAATCCCTGTATGTAGTAACCTCATATATACCACCAGGAAGCTCATATGAGTTATACAAAGCACATGCTGATAACATTTCATCATTAGTTTTAAATAATTTGCGTGATAACCATTTATGTGTTCTGGGAGATTTTAATTTATCCAATATTAATTGGGTTAGCAGTGAGTCATGCCCTAGTCTCATAGCTCATAATATGGTTGCCAATCATGAACTATATTTAGTAGATAGTATTTTAAGTCTTAACTTGAAGCAAATTAATAGTTTTGCTAACGAATTAAACAGAATATTAGATCTTATTTTTGTCAGTGATATCTTGAATTACCGAATTTGCGACTGTATTAACCCAATTACAGCTACGGATAAACATCATATTCCACTAGTTATAAAGTTAGACTTTTATTGTTTTTCCGCTATAAAGGACAACAAATTGTCATTTAATTACTCATTATGCGATTTTTTTAGTTTTAATGAACTATTGTCGAACATTAACTGGGATGATTTGTTTACTAACCTAGACACTGCATACTGTTTTTCTATATTTAAGTCAATCTTATATGAACTCTGCCTGGATAATATACCGGTTAAAAAGAAAAAGCCTTATAAATTGCCCTGCTATTCAAAAGACTTAAAAAAGATAAAAAAACTTAAAAACAAATTCTATAAAAAATTTAAAACTTCAAGAAATCATGTTTACTTCGTTAGGTATCAGCATTACTTAAAGAAGTTTGATTCTTTAAATAAGACTCTTTATAGTAACTATGTTCATGACACTGAGTTGAATATTAAATCTAATCCCAAATTGTTCTGGAACTACGTGAAATCTAAGAAAGGATGCTCCAGCTTACCCACAGGAATATTTCTTGGTGATAAAGCTGCGGAGACGCCAAGTGATGCCGCAAATTTGTTTGCTGAATATTTTGGGTCGAATTTCGCTCAGAATGACGTTACATCTGCAGAATTTTCTAATATCTCCTCGTCTCTCAACTTTGGCTCATTAATTCTCTCATCTGAAGACATAAGTAATGGTATAATTAAACTAAGACCCTCTACACATGTGGATGTTGATGGCCTATCTGCAACTTTAATCAAAAATTGTCCTGCATTAGTTTATCCCTTGAAGTTAATTTTTAATAAATCATTATCTTCAGGTACTTTTATTGATGATTGGAAGCTTACGACGGTAATGCCCGTTTTTAAAAATGGTAACAGAAGTGACGTATGTAATTATAGACCTATTTCTAAGCTTTCCGCTATTTCGAAAATCTTTGAACACACAGTCAATGCCAAATTGAATTTTGCAGTTAAATCTATTATCTCCCCATATCAGCATGGGTTTGTCGCTGGTAGATCTACTGTCTCCAATCTCGCTGTTTTCAGTGAATATTGTTTCGAGTCTTTTTCGTTAGGTTTTCAAGTTGACTGTATTTATACAGACTTCTCAAAAGCGTTTGACAGAGTGTCACATAGTATATTAATTCAAAAGCTTGCTTGCATTGGCTTTCATTCTATTTTTCTGCGTTGGTTGGAGTCGTACTTGTGTAACAGACGGTGTGTTGTCTCAATTGACGGGGCTACTTCTTGCCCGTTCGTTCCATCTTCTGGAGTGCCACAGGGTAGTGTCTTAGGTCCACTTCTTTTTATACTTTTCATCAATGACATTAGTAGTTGTTTTTCTTTTGCAAAATTTCTGCTTTATGCGGACGATTTAAAAGTTTTCTCTGTAATTAAAAACACATCTGATGCAATTAGGCTCCAAGATGATATTGATAAGCTTCATTTGTGGTGTCTGAAGTCACGCCTTTCCTTGAACATTAGTAAATGTTTTCAACTAACGTACTCTAAAATATCCAATTCTCTGCTTACCAGCTATCATATATCGGCTAACGATCTAAATCGTGCAGATGAGATAAAAGACCTTGGCGTAGTGTTCGATGATCGATTTTCTTTCAATAAACACATTTGCTATGTAACTGCAAAGGCGTATTCTGTTCTAGGCTTTGTAAGACGCAATGCCTCAAAATTCTCGGATCCTTATACATTCAAGTTACTGTATTCGTCATTTGTTCGGTCACATCTCGAATATGCGGTTTTTAGTTGGAGGCCGTATAATCAGAATGCTATAAACAGGGTTGAACGTGTTCAAACAATTTTTCTCAAGTTTGCTCTTCGCTGTCTGAACTTTTCAGACCCCGTGCCGTCATATTCTTCACGTCTTATGCTTCTGAATCTCAAGTCCTTAGAAAGTCGCAGGTCTGTCTTATGTCTTTCGTTTACATATAATATTATTAAAGGTATTGTTGATTGTCCGTTTTTGTTAGAGAGGATAAGATTTAATGTCCCCAGGCGATCCCTTAGAAATATCCTTCCGTTTTATGGTTGTAATGTTAGAACCCAATACGCCAGTAATGCCCCGATTTATCGCGCCATTCGTGAATTTAATGCCATGAATAATGTAGTCGAGGTAGACTTTTCAATCCCAAAGACAGCTTTTTTAGATCTTTTGAATTCCTATTTTTAGCTTTATGAATTATTTTTAATAGTTCTAATTAATGTTGTACTCTTCTAGTCTGTAATGTTATTATAAAACCATAGACTAAATAAATAAATAAATATATATCGATGCAGCCTTTCCAATAATTACCACTTTCCGCATAAGTACGGTACTGATAACATATGTATCTTTGTCAAATTTCAGAAAGTTAACATGAGCGGTTCCAGAGATAAGTGAAATGAGAAGTATTGGGGTGCCACGCCCCCTTTTCCATTACTTACCACTTTTCGCCATAAGTACGGTATTGATAACACATCTAGCTGTGTCGAATTTCAGGATGTTAGCGTAAGCGGTTCCAGAGATAAGCTATATGAAAAGTTCAGTTTGTATGGAAGGTGCCACGCCCCCTTTTCCAATGCATTTGCAATATATGCATCAGTGCTAAGATTCAGTTCCCAAGCGTAATTGGTTTTAGAGATATTGTTTTTTTTCGTTTTAGTCTGTATGAGAATTTTAGGAATATCCCGAGCTACATACCGAGTAAATTTTTCGTCGGAATATTTATTTTCAAGGTGTTGGCATATGTTCCAAATATGAACCAAATCGGTGCAGCCGTTTAGTAGTTTAGTGAAATACATGTACAGAGAACTGTATGAAATTGTAAAGCGTGACGCGTCAGATTTCTTAATTTTTTGGCAATAACAACAAAAAGTTTTGATTTTTTTAGCGAAAAACCTTCCACACAGAAGTTCCAAAAATTAAGTTTGTGATTATATCAAGGCGAAATTTTGAGAGCAGTCCGTTGCTAACTCTAAAAATATAAGCAACGACGCACTCGAAAAAGTTAATACATTCAAAGACCTACGAATAATGATCGACGATAAACTAAAACAAAAAGAAAAAATGGATTCATTTAGTTTCAATTAGAGCTCTAGCAATATGTACATCGGTGAAAACTGCATTTAATTCCATACATTAATTTTTGCGTGATGCGCTTACAAACATACAGACAGACCAAAATTATAAAAATTTTGGATTTGGCTTCTGTTGATCTAATAAATCCGCTATTAATTTTTCTTTAACATCAATTATGTACAGATATCGGCCTGTTGTAATTCTATTATTCTCAAATACTTTCGTTTGATACCCATATGGCAACATTTAAGTTATCTTATAAATTTAACTGAATTAAAGTTTTCAAATAAGTGGCAACCCGCTTAAAAAATATTTTCAAAAGTAAGCTTCCTAATCCTCTTTAGTTAAATGTCCGTATTGTAATATTTTATTTATTTTACAAATTTAAATGAATGAAATTTTTCAAGCAGTTGGCAAATCCCCTAAAAATATTTTCGGCATTAAAATTTCCTAGCCTCTTTTGTTTAATGCCAATATTGCAATATTCAATTTATGCTAAGAAGCTCGGCCAAACACTAACATATGTGTAAGCGCCAATCTATTATTATTATTAAAGTTTTTAAATAGGTGGCAACCTTCCACAAAAATATTTTCAGCTGTAAGCCTTTGTAAACCTCTTTCTTTTTACAGCCATATTGCAATATTTACTTTACCTATCAATTGATCTAAACTGAAATTTTAAACACAGGTGGCAACTCTCAAATTTGTTTCATCTATATTGTAAGCTAGATCTCTAGCGATACATCGGTGAAAACTGCATTCAATTCCATGCATTAGTTTTCGAGTGATGCGCGTACAAATATACAGACAGACGGAGTGTCAAAAATTATAAAAATTGTTTATTTGGCTTCTGTAGCTCTAATAAAAACCCACCATATGAATCTTTTTAATATCTATAAGGTACAGACATCGGCCTGTTACAATTTTGTTATAAGTATAGATATAGATTTCATTTATTTTATCAATTTAATACA